TCCATTACTTAAGAGACTGACGCTTCATACAGACAAATGGATAAACGAACAAATTGACAAACGTTCGCATGATGAAATATATTATAACATTTATGAAAGTAACTCTCTCGGTGTTAGGAAAATGAGTTATCAAAAGAGAGATGGTTGATAGAGTTAAGTTATAATGTATGGATGGATGGATGGATGGATGGATGGATGGGTGGATGGATAGATGGATGGATGGGTGGGTGGATGGATGGATGGGTGGGTGAATGAATGGTTACATGGATGGATGGATGGATGAATGAATGAATGGATGGATGGGTGAATGGATAGATGGATGGATGGATGGATGAATGCATGGATGGAGAGAAGTGGAGAATTGATATGAATTCTGTAAGAGCTGGGGGCTGTAATTAATAACACTGATGGTAATGGAGAAGTGGAGCCTCGAGGGGTATTAATACGGAAGAACAGGATGAAATATAGAGACATGAGCTGACTGACTGACTGACTGGCTGACTGGCTGACTAACTGACTGACTGACTGACTGACTGAAGGAGTGATTGTTATATCTTTTATGAATGGATGTGTGTGTGTGTGTGTGTGTGTGTGTGTGTGTGTTAGTCATTATAGAAGAAGTGATTAGTTTGTGAAGGTTAATTGAGAGTTTGGAGGAAGAGGTTAGGTTAGGTTAGGTTAGGATAGGTTAGGTTAGGATAGGTTAAGATAGGTTAGGTTAAGATAGGTTAGGTTAGGTTAGGATAGGTTAGGTTAGGTTAGGTTATTGTTAGTATGGCCGAACCTGATAACTCATTATAGTTTAGCTGTTCTGGAGAGTTATAATCAATGTGCATTTAAATTTGTATCTGTGTATAGTATGTATGTATGTATGTATGTATGTATGTATGTATGTATGTATGTATGTATTTTATGCATGTATGTATGTATGTATGTATATATTTTATGTATGTATGTATGTATGTATGTATGTATGTATGTATGTTGAGCATATGAGAGTGGATTGTCTAGTCTTTTTCTGTTGTTTAATTACATTTTTAGTTCTCTCCTTTTTGTGTTTTAACTCTTTTACTTGAGTTTCCTGTATCTCTTTGTCCACCCCATCCATCCCGTCCCCCCCCCTACACCCCTCCCCTCCCCTCCCTCCGTGTATATACAGAGACGTAGATAAGGGAAAACACACACTAAGGGGCTAAATTCCTTATCTCCCGTGGGGTTACTATGTGGTGTATCGCTTTGACATGGGATTTAATTTTTTTATTTATTTATTTTTTTGCAACCTCGATGACAGCCTTAGCGGGGGACGGGGGCGGGGAGATGATGAGCTAATCTAGTGTAGCCTAATAAACGTCTTATGAGCCGTAACCTCATATCAGCCTCGACTATGGAGCAGTGCTCCCCGTCTTCATCAGAGTACTCGCCCCCTTTTTTTTGGGGGGGTGGGGAAGGGGGGGGGGGCTCGACAGAAAAATAGTTACCTCGAACAAATATGAGAACAAATTAATTTATTCCCTAACTGAAATTTTTTTATAGTTTATATTTGTTGTCATTTCTAAATAAGTAATTGTACGTTTATTTTATTTCCTCTCTCAGTTTAAGGTCAGTGTGTGTGTGTGTGTGTGTGTGTGTGTGTGTGTGTGTGTGTGTGTGTGTATGTGTGTGCATCAGCTTGAAGTGTATTTAGTTTGGAGTTGAATCAGAATTTTAAATAACGGATAATAATTGAATTTCAAATACGTTTTATTATATCACATTGGATCATCACTTCAATAATACCAAACACACACACACACACACACACACACACAGAGCAGCACTGAGCTAACGCCATCCTTCTCTGGGTTGTCATTCAGAAAAATAGAAAAAAAAATTCATTTTTTTTTCTTTCGGGCAATTTATTCAAACATTCTTGGAGGAATAATTTGGCTGATGTCTCATTAATTCAACACTCTGAGATTCATGTCGTACTGGAAGACATGGTAAGGTTGTAGGACATGGGTGAAGGAAATGGTAAGGGTGTAGGACATGGTAAGAGTGTATGACATGGTAAGGATATAGGGCATGAGTGAAGGACATGGTAAGGGTGTAGGACATGGTAAGGGTATAGGACATGGTAAGGATATATGACATGGGTGAAGGACATGGTAAGGGTGTAGGACATGGTAAGGATATATGACATGGGTGAAGGACATGGTAAGGGTGTAGGACATGGTAAGGGTGTGTAGGGACATGGTCAGGATATAGGCATGGCGAAGGATATGGTAAGGGTATAGGACATGGTAAGGATGTACACATGGGTGAAGGACATAAGGGGTGTAGGACATGGTAAGGGTGTAGGACATGGTAAGGGTGTAGGACATGGGTGAAGGACATGGTAAGGGTGTAGGACATGGTAAGGATATATGACATGGGTGAAGGACATGGTAAGGGTGTATGACATGGTAAGGATATATGACATGGGTGAAGGAAGGGTATGGAAGATATATATATGGTGGTAAGTGGGGTGAGAAGGAGTGGTAAGGATATACATGGTAAGGGTGTGACATGGTAAGGATATATGACATGGGTGAAGGACATGGTAAGAGTGTATGACATGGTAAGGATATAGGTATGAGTGAAGGACATGGTAAGGGTGTAGGACATGGTAAGAGTGTAGGACATGGTAAGGATATAGGGCATGAGTGAAGGACATGGTAAGGGTATAGGACATGGTAAGGATATATGACATGGGTGAAGGACATGGTAAGGGTGTAGGACATGGTAAGGGTGTAGGACATGGTAAGGGTGTAGGACATGGGTGAAGGACATGGTAAGGGTGTAGGACATGGTAAGGATATATGACATGGGTGAAGGACATGGTAAGGGTGTAGGACATGGTAAGGATATATGACATGGGTGAAGGACATGGTAAGATGTAATATCAGTATCAATACCCGGAACAGCTTCAGCCACTACTATGATCTACAGCTATACGAATCACATACATCTGGTAACATCTACAGGTGTGTGAGGAGAATACCAGCGGCCATGAAGGAAGAAGCCTCTAGAGGAACACTAAATTTGTTTGAATTACTGTAGAAGCCTCTACAACAACGGCAGCAGCAACACTAATAACATAACAGCAGTCATCGCCAGTTCACCGTTGTATTAGCGGTTGGAGTTTGTATAGTGTTAAGTGCAGCTGGAAAAAAACCTAACCTAACCTATCCTAACCTAACCTAACCTAACCTATCCTAACCTAACCTAACCTATCCTAACCTAACCTAACCTAACCTAACCTATCCTAACCTAACCTAACCTATCCTAACCTAACCTAACCTAACCTAACTCGATTCATAGTCAGAAACATTATGTGGAAACTGCGATAGACGCTTGTTCACAGCAGGGAACAAAATATATCACAGCTTTAGGAAAACTATCAACAGTGGGAAAGTGATAACAGCATGACAACAACAACAACGGGGAAATGATAACAGCACAAAAACAGTAGAAGCCAAGCTAATGTAAGCAGCATGAGTTACGGTAAACAGCACCAACAAAAACAGCAGAACATAGAACCTACTGCCAACATCACAGCTCAATTACCACCACCACCACTACCACCAGCAGGAGCTTTAACGGCGCCAATATATAAACAAGAATCAGTAAGAGGGCAGCAGTAATGGCAATAAAGGCAGAGAGCAAGAGCAGCATCAGAGAGAGAGAGAGAGAGAGAGAGAGAGAGAGAGATGTGGTCTTTGTGGAGTCAGGAACACCATACACGAGTACCAATAGCATCGTCAGGAGCCACAAATAGAACACTAACATTTGTAAAAGGAAGGGGCCATCTTTGTAACACCTGGAGCACCCCCCCACCCCACCCCGAGTCAACATTAGCAACGAGAATAAGACTGCCGACAACGAGGCATGAAACGCGCCCCTCCCCCTGCCCCTCCCCCTCCCCCTCCCACCCTTATGAACCTGTGCATAGAAAATGTTGTGTCTGTGTTGTAACCAGATTTTTATTTTGTTATTTTTTTTTAGAATAACCTTACACTTTGACCTCAATATCACTAGGTTGTTTCCTCTACTCTAACAATAAAGTCCGGTAATACTCGTCTTTCTTGAAAATCGGTTTATGGAATTGAATATGCGTGTTGAGGATATTGAAATGTAAAGTTCAAGCACCAGTGACTTTGATCTATAGGCCCTATGGATTACTTTTTGGCCTACTTTCCTATTATCGTATTTTGAAACCAAAACTCTTTATCTAAGGTACGATAAATCTTGGTCTTTGGTGTTAAATTGGCACAGGGAACTTTTATGACTATTCTCAAATCCAATTTAGTCCACTGATACCCAATTCAATCGTAAACTCTCTCTCTTCCTGCAGCATTAGTGTTCATCGGTAAAAGGAAACTCGAGTTACGGATCGGAAACTAAATTCTCGATGGAAAGACGGACGCATCTACCATGGGCGTGAAAAAAAAAGAAAAAAAAAACATTCAAATTATAATAGCCACATGCATATAGGTATGAGTGGAATACCTTAATAGCAAGCAGCAGCAGTAGGAGAACAGCCCTCATACACAGCAACAATATCACAGCGAGAAAACCACAACAGGACGTTAGATTTGCATACCTACGTGTAACCCACACAGGGGGGGGATTTAACCTTCGTGTTGCAGTAAGAACCAAGAGAGAGAGAGAGAGAGAGAGAGAGAGAGAGAGAGAGAGAGAGAGAGAGAGAGAGAGAGAGAGAGAGGAGGGGTGGTGGTGGTGGGTGGTAACGAGAAAAGAAATAGAGAGTGGGGGTGGTAACGAGAGAGAGAGAGAGAGAGAGCCCCACAACGATGACATCACAGCAGCCTGAACGAGAGCCATCATAATGAAGCACATCAACACTGACATCAACAGTAATGGCGGCGGCTCATTATCACAACGGGAAGCACTGGCCAAATCTTTACAACAGGAGACATTAAGAGTAACAACAGCGGAAGCGACTCCTGATAAATTACATTCTAATGGGCTCCAGTTCTAATGGGTTCCAGTTCTGTTGGGTTCCAGTTCTGATGGGTTTCACTTCTTATGGGTTCCAGTTCTGTTGGGTTCCAGTTCTGATGGGTTCCAGTTTTGATGAGTTTCACTTCTAATGGGTTCCAGTTCTGTTGGGTTCCAGTTCTGATGGGTTTCACTTCTAATGGGTTCGAGTTCTGATGGGTTCCAGTTCTAATGGGTTCCAGTTCTAATGGGTTCCAGTTCTGTTGGGTTCCAGTTCTGGGTTCCAGTGGGTTCCAGTTCTGTTGGGTTCCAGTTCTGATGGGTTTCACTTCTAATGGGTTCCAGTTCTGTTGGGTTCCAGTTCTTGGGTTTCACTTCTAATGGGTTCAAGTTCTAATGGGATCCAGTTCTAATGGGTTCCAGTTCTAATAGGTTCCAGTTCTGATGGGTTCCAGTTCTAATGGGTTCCAGTTCTGTTGTGTTCCAGTTCTGATGGGTTCCAGTTCTAATGGGTTCCAGTTCTGTTGGGTTCCAGTTCTGATGGGTTTCACTTCTAATGGGTTCCAGTTCTGATGGGTTCCAGTTCTGTTGGGTTCCAGTTCTGATGGACTTTCACTTCTAATGGGTTCCAGTTCTAATGGGCTTCAGTTCTAATGGGTTACTCTAGTGATATAATTTAATGCTAATTGTCTCCAGTTTCAATAGGTGTAGTCCTAATGGGTTCCAGTCGTAATAGAATTTACTCTTAATAGTATCAAGTCCTAAGAGAATTTTGTTCTAACCTAACCTAACCTAACCTAACAGCAGAAGCAAAGTAAATCGAATTAGCTAACACGAATGGCCTCTCTCTCTCTCTCTCTCTCTCTCTCTCTCTCTCTCTCTCTCTCTCCACAACGAAGATATTATTGTCGTCGTGTGTACTGGGATTCGTATGATAAGCTATGACGATTTAACTGATGCTGAGTCACTTTCTTAAGTTATCTAGAAGTAAACACAGAAACTTGAGGTATATTTCCTCCAATCATGTTTTGAAGATGAAAAATCCTTCAGTGTTTGTTCAGTTAATTTCCTCTCTCTTCTGGTTCGTTTATAAACTTTCAAAGTAAAGTTAGTGAAAAAGATAGAGTGAATTCGAAGCCAAGTTAGAATAATATCAGAGACAGAGGTGGTGGAGGGTTAAAGTAACATCAGAGGGAGAAAAAAGGAGGGCAAGGGAGGAGGAAGGACAGACAGACTAACAGATACACAGCCAGGCAAGAAGATATGAAGGAAAGGCAGGCAGGTATAATGAAAGACAAGAACACAGGGGAAAAATAATAGTCGATATTTAAGAACACAGTAGTGAAGGTGAACATCAGTCGGTATTGTTAAAGGTCCATTAAGAAAACCAACGTTTGTATACATCCGTAAAGTGCACCAACAATCACTATGAAACTCCCCGCTAGCACATGTGCTCCAGGTATTGATAACACACCTAACCCACACCACCACAAAGAACCGACGCTGATTCTTAAAAAATCACTGTGTATCCGGAGGCCGGAATTTCTCACCGGCGTGAAAAATAATATTTGCATTACCAGGGACCCGCACCACTGCCACAATAACAGGCTTTGAAGTGTCTCTTTGGCCAAAACGCTCACAGTGTGCGGCGGGAATGTCGCCCCTTGATATGCAAAGGGGGTTTTCACTGTCCCTTTTCCCCGGGGCGGGCTCAGAGGGGAGAGGCGGGGACTGACCGGGAAATTTTGGGTGCATTTAATTTTGTTTACCATTATGAATAATGATGGCGGCGACGTATTTATTGTGTTGGCAACATTATTTCTTTTTTTATCACGGATGATATACATGTTTACCAACAGACATTCAGTTTTATGTAAATATATATATATATATATATATATATATATATATATATATATATATATATATATATATATATATATATATATATATATATTTATTTATTTATACCTCTTAATTATTTAGTGTATTAAAATATTAAAGAAAACACACACTACCAACACCGGGTAAGCGCTTTAAACCCTTAGGTATTTTCCCTGCCATGATTCTGAAATAGCTTCCCTGAAATGCTCAGCGAGCCATTTTCCAGGCATGTAGCGGACTATTTCCACTACTCCATTCCTTACCCAAGCTGGCCTGGCCTGCCTCCCTGCCCCACACACCACCACCACACTCCTCCCTGCCCCACACACCACCACCACACTCCTCCCTGCCCCACACACCACCACCACACTCCTCCCTGCCCCACACACCACCACCACACTCCTTCCTGCTTTATACACCCCTAATACGTATCATATACAGCATTATAAAAAAAACTTATAAGACTTTTCCTGTGTACTAAGACACCTCTGGGGGACTCTACCTCCACTACACCACATTCACAAAAATACTCAATACAATTCAGCTCTCCATACATCGTCTCTATCACTTTAATAACATTTTAACTGTATATCTACGCTGTTATTGTGTCTGTGTGTTTGTTCTGCTCGTAGACTTGAAAGGACATTTTTTTATATATCCAACTCTCTGTATCGTCCTCTACACCCCACCATCTTACCATATATTGGACCTACAACCCTTCCCCCTTGCTTTAATTTACCAATACTCGATTCAATGCAATTTCCTGGTGAATAATTACACCTAAGAGAGGTTATGCAGGGATGTAATTGGATTCTGCCTTAATAAAACTCCATGACTAACATATTTTTATTAGTATTTTTTATTTTATTCTCTAGTTATTCTTACTTGTTTGTTTATTCTCAGTCAGGTCGGAAATGTTTAGTAAATATCCTTCACCTTCCGAGCCAACACCACTCGGCCTTGCGTCTGATTGGTCCTAGAATAAAACTCGATAATCGGATTGGTCACTTTTGCAACGCTGGTGGACGAAGGGCTACAGTGCATTAAATATTCATATCAGATACTCTCACTTTAATATTATTGATCCCTTCAATCAGTCATCATTGGTCGGGTACAGAGGTTGGTTACTCTCGTGCGTTTATATTAAGGGTAAAATTTGATGTTTTTTTTGTGTTTTTTGTTTGTGTTTTAAGGATGCGATTATTTTACTCTGGGGTAAATTGGGTCAACTCTTACGTTTTGTTCGTATTTTTTTCTTGTAATAGTTGTTATATAAGTTCGGTTACATTGCCTTTCTTTCTGACATTCCATCCACATCATGTTGTTTCCTCGCCTCCTGACTCACCCGGGCGGAGTCGTGGCCGCATCCATAACGACTTCCCAAAACTTCTCCCACATTTCGCTAAACTCTCTTAACTTGCCCCCAGGAAGTGATCCAGCCACCAACTTACCATATTAGACTGTTTTGCATTGCACGTTGTATAATGCTTCACTCTGGCCACACCGCTATGCCAAGCTTGTTTTAGAGGGTATGCGCTGGACAAGCTGACACACACACACACACACACACACACACACACACACACACACGGTAATGAATACTTGAAGGGGTCATAAAAAATTTCATTGTGTTAATAGTAAGGAAAGGCGTGTTTGATCCTCCTGGAATTTCATCAGCATCACAATAAAGTCCTTTTTACTCTTTGACAGCAGCGGAAGCCAGTCATGACGTCACTCTCCCTGGAACACACTTGTTTTTTTCCCAATTTGAACTGTGAATAAATCGCTTCTCCTTGTAATTGTTTTAGGAAAATATATTGGACAAACAACCATTTTTTGTTGTTGTGATTAAATACCGAAGAAAACAGAGAGTTTAAATGTGTTGTTGATAAAACGGGGAAGAGACAAACTTTATCTTACTGCGTGCGTGTAAAGGACGCTGTGTGTGTGTGTGTGTGTGTGTGTGTGTGTGTGTGTGTGTGTGTGTGTGTGTGTGCACTGTTAGACCCAGCCATACACAAGAGCTTGGCCTCGCATAACTTGGGTCCTGACACAACAATATAATTCTGATGACAGAACAAACAATATTTTTGTCCCTGCTCCCTGGTGGTCGGTGTGTCGCTGGCGGCCTGACCTCCAACTTCAATGTATTTGATTCAAAGTAAAAACAAAAACAAAACAAAAACAAATAATAATAATATACTGTGTATTTTCTGCAGTGACCAATAAGATACATTTTCGGTAAGACTCACCTCCCAACTCCGTAAAGTTTTGTCGTTCGAAAGTAATGTTTGACACTCACACACGTTCATTACCGCAGGTCATCAGGAGGCGGCTTTTGAGGAGGACAACAGAGGTGAAGAGATGGGGAAGGGAGAGAGCTAAAACCCGGACCCGGAACTAGACCAGAATTTTTTTTTATAACAACAGAGGGTGTGATTACGTTAGGTTATGTTAGATTAAGTAAGGTTAGGTTAAGTTACGTTATGTCTAAACATTACCATGGTGGACAATATGCCCTAGGGTGATGGTGGTGGTGGTGGTAGAGGGAAAGAGAAGTGGATGGGTGGTGGTATAAAGGTGTGGCCGCCCACCCCTCCGCCACCCCTCTCTTCATCACACACTCGGTTGCCTCTCCAAACACTCCATCAATGGACGCCGCTTCGTTATTATTCAGGCTGTGATTGACTATTTAACTTCGTACCTAAACAGTACTTGACAGTCTTTCTTTTATACGTGTGTGTGTGTGTGTGTGTGTGGGAAAATATTTACATAAACCACACAATACAGTATAACATTGTTTAAGACTAAGACAAAATGTGTTCATGATTAATTGGATTATATCTTCCTCTGTTGACATATTAAATTGAGTCGAGAATTAATAATAATTATAAAAACATAAACACTGTCGTAGGTAAGTGACGATCATTTCATAATTTTAATGGTTAGTGTCAAGGCTGAGATATAACTTGACTCGATATTGTATTCCTCGTCCTCAAGCGTGGTAATACTCGAGGCTTCAGGTCGAGTGGGAGGGAGGTGTACAGGTTTTCGAGTCCCGTTCCTACAGCCACTGAGAAAGTTTAGGCGGTGTTTAGGATTTATTTCATCCGTTTTACCATCAATATAGACTAAAACAATCACAGTAGCTTCTCTCATCTGGCAACATACAGACATGGAGAGTTTCACTAATTAACAAATGTACATCTGACAAAATACAAAGACATAAGACCCCAAAAAATCTCATCTCAACAACTCATATCATCGATACCCGGGTAGTAATTACAGGTCGGGGTTATGATAATTAAAATATTCCGTTAACGACCCTACCCCCCCTCCTATAGTAGTACTCTGATATATGGCTGCGGTTGTAATTCTTCCCCCTTTATAATATATAATCCTTGGCTATATATGTACTGTATATTACTGCGCCATGTGGACACTGTCGCCACGCGTGAGAGGA